AATTTAATGAAATGTAAAATATACATTATAATTTTTTCTATAAACTATTAATATAACCCTAAGTCAGGGCAATTTTAATTGAATGACAAATTTTATTATTGACAATTTTACAATTTATGTGACTTTTTTTTTTTTCCAGTATCATACATTATTTTTAAAATATATCGATATATAATAAACTCTCTTTTCACTACTTACTGAAAGAATTTTATTATCTTTATGGGCACAACTCAGACACTTTTCTTTTTTTCCTTCAAATTTAAATTCAAATTATTTAAAGTTTTAAAAAAAAAAATGAACCTTTTGATATGTTACAAAAGGTATATGTTTATATCTTCTAAAAACATTGAGCGCTACATCTGCCTGTATAAATGCATGTGCCCCTAAAAGTACTTGTATAAAATTACTTATAAGATTTACTTATATTACTTCTGAATCAGTTTTATACTGCAATGGTTGAGCGCATTTCTAATGCCTTATATTGCTCCCATTTCTTTATGAATTTAACCTTTAACCTGCTGCTGTTGACTGAATCTATCTTTCCGTGTAACCAGTGTAGACCAAGATCAGCCAGCATATCTGAGCTCTGTGGTCATGGTCCGCACTGTTTGCTATTCAGTTTGTACATGTTTTGAAATTTTCCCTTAAAGAAATGAATGGTTTTGTCCAGATAAAAAGATGGACAAGTCCATTTAAGGTAAATAGTGTAGTAAGAGTTTAGGAAAGTGTCTCGTCAAGACATCTCATTCTGATTCTTAAAATTTCTAATGTAATATCATGTTTGCTTTATTTATATACATATATGATACAGTATAAAACTGTTCAGTCATTGGGGAGAAGATGTGTAAGTGGCCAGATAGCTCAATTAGTACAGCTGCGGTATTGTATTATGAATAGCTTTTATCACTAAGATTTAGTCTAAATAACTTAAAAGAAAATATTTTAAACTCATTCCATCACTGCCATGGGAAAATGTTTGTTTTATATTTTTTTGTGTATTTAATATTTTAAAATACAATTTAGTTCTACTATTTTATCAAGCTGTTGTATAAAATAACTGAGGTTGTCTTTCTCCTAACTTAAGTATGCTACCACATTTCATTTTTACTGCAAGGATTTTCCTTGAAACATTTCGCAAAGGTAGCAAAGGTTCTGTTAACTATCAAAGATTTTACCTTATATTTAATAATTCATTTCATTTTTGAAGACACATTGAGTGTCAATACATTCATACTTTGCAGATATGTTATTTTCACAAGAATTATAATGACAAAATAGTCAATACACTGTTCTCCAAATTTTCATTTTCTCAATGAAAGATGACTTTAATATTAAGTTTAATTGCCAATTATCATAGTCAAAACTCTGTGCTTGTTTTGAACATATTGACATGTTTTATCGTATTTGATTTAAAAATTTCAGGTTTTTTAGTACGATTTTGTTTTATTTTGGTCATCTTATTTTACACTCAATGTTTTTGTCAAATTTGTTTTTTTTCACAGTGTCAACTCTTTCTACTTATATTTTCGTTATAATTTCCTTAGTTTTTTGGTTGTGATATTTTACAGTTGTTATTTTTTTCTTGCATTATATTTTTTATACACAGTGTTGACTATTTTCTACTTATACTTTTGCTGTTGTTTCAATTCCACCCACACTTCTCTTGTTGTGAATGTTTTTGGTTACCAACGTTGTTGATGTTGTTTATTTTTTAGGTCACTCTTATCTCAATGATTGTTATAATCTCTCTTCTATTCAAGATGACTGGAGCAATGGTCGTCTAGTTGACAAGCATCAATACAATTCTACCGGAAGTTTAGTTTTTACAGATCCATATAGTGTTGGTAAATAAACTACACCTCTTTTACTATTTTGTACCCCAGAGATGTCTTTTGTGTTAGTTTGAAATATCTGCTGATGTAATATGATTGAACTTTTGACATAGGTTTTATTCAATACAATGTATTTAAAAAAAAAATTGTCTGTAGACCAGTCTGTTTTTTGAGCAACCAGTCTATTATAAGAGACAATTTTGATTGGTCATTTTCAAATTTAGAAGTAGTACTGACCAATCATTTTACAAATGTCTCAAATTTGAAATCAATCATAAATAAAGATAATAAAAAGATATTTTGTCTGGGAATATGCTTTTTGGATGTCCCAGAAACAAAACAAAAAATGGTCCTATGCATAAATATTCCCTGAAAGTTTGGAAAATTTTAAAAAAGAATGAGAAGAACAGATGAAAATCAACCATTAAGAAGAAATGTATTTAACCATTTGTTCTGAGATTTTTTTAATTGATCATGTAACACATTTATGTCTGTGGTCAAGAGGTTAAGATTCTGACTTAAAAAATCATGTGCGCATAACATTAGGTTCAAATCGCACTAGGGTCTTTCATTTTAGGAAGCTATCCAGCTAGCTTACCAAAGGTTGGTGGTTAGACTCAAATAATCTTTCTTCACCAATAAAACTGAAAAATTGCCATATGACCTTTACAGTTTTGTGAGATTTAAAACCCAACAAAAAAAAAAAGTCAAAACAAAAACAGTTTACTCAGCAGATATTTTCTGGTATCACACTTTTTGGTTTGAAAGCCTTGGTTTTCCCTTGTTTGATTTGCACTGTTTGCTGTTTTGCGTACATTAATTTGTTTTTCAAAGTTTCCCTCTGCAAATTTTTTTTGTTGTCAAATAACTATTGAAGTAACAAAATTGCTGAGTCATCATAAAGTCATAATTTATGTTGTGTGTGCACAGAATTCAATGATGTCATCAAATAAACTTGCATTGTCTGTCCAGCATATTGAGAATGAGCATAACTGAAGAGGCCTTTTGACACTTAGAATCAAATATGTTTTTATGGAGACCATATTTTGATAAATAGTAAAGTGATTGTTATTGGCAGGTAATCTCTCACAGAATTGAATTTGCTCTTTAACTTTCAAAAAGAAAATATACCTCTTGCCATCCTGTATGTCTTATTACATTACATGTAATTGGAATGTATTTATATTAACTTTGATTGTATTTAAGTCAACTTTGATTGAATTCATATCGACTTAGGTTGTATTTATATCAATTTTGATTGTATTTTTATCAATTTTTATATCAAGTTTCTGTTTGCTTGCTTTATGGTTTTTACAACTGATTGCCTTTATTTTACTGTTTACTTCTGTTTTGGTTTTGTTTGCATGTTTCTGTTGCATATGAGAAGAAAGTTAGAATGTTGGATAAGTAAAACAAAAAGATTCTGTTCAATTCACTATCTTTAAAGACCAGCCATGAGAGGTCTCATTTAACAGGTGGTCATTGAATACAGATCTGTAATTTTTGCTAGAATTGAAATGAAATTTAAGTAGAAATGCCGGCTATGCTTAAGAGATTCTCTGTAAGTATGATATGTAAATGTTGTTGTTTTTTTTTATCCGAGATGGTTTCTAGCTCAGGTTTGACTGTATTCTTTATGTAAGGCAAGATCAGAGGACTAATTACCACGATTGATCCTTTCCGGATAACTTCCCTGTGTTAACAAGGTGCAATCCTATGTCCTCAGCAGCTTGATCCTCTTGTATAGGAAATATAATTTTATGCACACATTGATTTTTTTTTATCTGTACTTTGAAGTGCTATGTAAACATTTTCCATCTGTTGACATTGGATAGTTCTTTAAGAGGTTTATCTTGTCTGAAGGACCCTTTAAATGTTATAGTGGGCGGGTATAGAATGTTGATTGGTCCTAAAGGATTTTTTGTGCATATTGGAATATATTATAATTCTTTACATGATTTATTTGCATATTATTTTCTTATACATGATGTATAAGTATCAAAAAATTTATGGCATAGCCTGTGTCAGTTTTAAGGATGTGTAAAGAAAATAGGGATGGGTTTTCAGTTGAATTTGAATAAAGCGGGTGTTTATAGGGATATATTGAATATTCCGTCTAAATTAAATAATTGATTAATTCTATTCAACGATGTTTATTGAAGGTATTTACTATTTATGATTTCATGAGGTTGAAATCTTTATTTGAAATGTAATGTAATCATTCAGGTAGCAAGCAATATTTGATGTTGTAAAGAATTAAATCATGTATAATAAATTTAATCTAGCTTATTTTGATAAAGGTCCAAAGAATATATTAGTCCAGGGGTGGCAAAATCAACTGTCCATATTGCCCAGGCTGTCCCACAGTGTTTACAGACAAGTGGAAATTTTCAAGAATTTACCATATAAATATCATGTAGAAAAGTTAAGAAATGCTTTTTATTAAAACGAACCAATCAGTCGAAATCAGATTTTGGACTCAAACTTAGGTCTATACAAATTTACTGACCAGGTTACCTTGGCTTTTTCATACATTCTTAACCTAAGACTAAGAGACACGTAATTGTTATACTTGAACTGCACAATTTATCCTGTGTAATGGAAATTATAGATTTCTCCGATATGTTCCAATATTAAGGCTATCTTTGTATAAGCAGTTTGTATAAGCAGTTTTCTACTGTAAACTAGAGAATTGGTTCAGAAACAAGGATTAAAAGATTGCCAGGAAATGATTTCAGTAAGATCAATTAGTAACTGGCATTGTCAATGAAAAGAAGTAAATGAATAGCATAAAATAATAATATATTCATTTTCTAGTCAGTGGTACAGTACATTTTGTAAAGGGAATTTTGATTAAAAGTGAAATTTTAGTATCACGTAATCTTATGATAATGCATTATTTTCTGCATTAATCAATGAAAGTTTATAGGTTCATACTCCTTATGAATGGCCAGTGCAGTTGCACTCTTGAGGTGTTTGAAAAAAAAAAAATTCGCCAAATGAATCACGTTCATGGACTTTTATGATTTAGATCTTGTCTTACCTTTAGTTGATAATGGACAGGTCCAATTGCAAAGCCGGAAAAGTCCATTACATATGAAAAGTAGAGAGGTTAATAAAGCGGCATTTAAATCTATTTGGTCGTTTATCTACATTTACAGTCTTTAATGTAAAATCTGCCCACTGGTCATCTGTTAAGTGGACACAAGGTCAAATATCGGCTTGTTATCGCACCTATTGACCTCTATATGACAGTTGTGTTAACACATTACACCCTCTGTACACTTGCTTTAGCATATTTTTACCTGGTGAAACCCACATTGTATCAATGAAACCATGCCATGTGTTATCATAAATAAATCGTAAAAACATAGTATACACTTCAGGTGATGTTAGATTTGGTTCACTGGCCAGCAAATATTTACATATTTACGTTTCTATATTTATATGGGGAATAATATAAACAAGGTATTCATGTACTATCATTTTCAAATTTCGTCATTTTAATGCAAAGTTTTGACAAATTTTTACAATACTACATCTTAGGTAAAATTATTTAATTGCATGCGTGGGTTGAGCTTACGAGTTATATCAGATTTCCAGTGTTTGGTTTTCACTACAAAACATTACATTTTTATGTTTTGTGAAACAGAGTAGAAATAATTGATGTACATGAAGTTGTTATATTTACCTGCATTAGAATGTCTTTAAGCAGGATACATTTTCAATCGCAGCAAAATATTGGGTTTTAAATATTCATGGTAGTGTCAGTAATTGTAAACTATTTATGTCATTATTCAATCAGACATAAAATTTATTTTTTTTGGATTTAAATTCTTTGGTCGATTTGCATTTGCTGTTAGCTGCAGTGTCACACTGAAAATCCAATAATTATTATAATGTAGTAATACCGAGTAATAACAAAATTGAAGGTGATTTTAAATCTTACACAAATAAAATATTATAGTTGGAAAGTGAAAATATTCCCGGAACAATAATTGAAACTATAATGAATACACATTGAGACTAGAAATATATATATATCAAAAAGGATGTCATATGAAGTTGGTCACGGGTCTGAGCCTCTGGCGGAATGGCCGGCACGCTCACGTACATCCTACAAACAGATGACTCATTTTGACGACCTTGATAGTCTGTCGTTGCCATCAGGTAATTTGTTGATATATTTTTATCATTTTATTCTCTCATTATTATGAAATAAGACATTCATTTTCATGTATAACTGGTTTTTGGCGTACTTATTTACCTTGTGAATGGTACTAATTGTTCAACATACATGTCGTATTTTGTTTTCTTCAACAGTTGTATGAGTCCCACTGAACATATTTACAAGGGTCAACAATGGAGCTGTGAAACTGAAACCCAGAGTGTGTCATAGATAGTGCATTGCATTTATTAATGCTTGCACAAATTCGCTTAAATTTCAAAACAATGTAGAAACCTAGTGACTGGGCAGAAAATAAAGCTGTCCTACCATTTGAAATAAAGGTCACATCAGAAAAAGTCCCTTTGATATAACGGTCACATCAGAAATAGACCCTGTCGGCCCACAGTTCATTATTTCATGCAAAATTGGAATCCATTTAGACCTCCTGATATTCTGTGAGCTGGATATATGAGCTGCGCCATGACAAAACCAACATAATGGATTTGCGACCAGCATGGATCCAGACCAGCCTGGGCATCCGCGCAGTCTGATCAGGATCCATGCTGTTAGCTTACATACTCTATAACAAGTTGAGAAACTGATAGCAAACAGCATGGATCCTGATCAGAGACATAACTGAGTGCGCGGATACGCAGGCTGGTCTGGATCCATGCTGGTCGCAAACCCATTATGTTGATTTTTGTCATGGCAAGGCTCATATAACATCAAATTCTTTAAAGAGGTGATTGACAAAGACCATATAACCTGTTTCTTGAATGTTTCCTTAATTGCTCTCTTCATTGTTTGTGTCACCTTGAAAGATGGAAAGTCCTTTTATGGCATTGCTTATTATTGGCATGACCCTTACAATAGGTTAATTATTAAATAGCAATTGTTACTTTGATGCATTTTGTATACTGTACAATAGGTCAAAATCAATCCTGTATGTGATATTGAATTGTTCTGCAGATTTTTTGTTTATTTATATGCTTCTTATTATTGGAAAAGTTTTGACAAGCCCTTGAGTTATAGTAGTATAAAGTTATAAATTTATTGTGCAACTTTATGTGAGACAAGGCTTATAAATTTTGCGGAAGATATTTTATTAAAGTTTGGATATTTTATATTACTCTATAGAGGTAGAAGTGTTGATGTTTATGCATGTATATTAAAACTTTATATGAGCAAAGATTACATAATAATGTGTAAAAATAGATGATCATCATATGACGGGAATTATTGATGCATTAAGTTAGTACTTTCATCTCGTTATACCTAATAAGACGTTTTGAAGGATTTTTGCGTCGGTTTTTCGTCTTTTTCTCATATATTACACAGTGTAATGATTGCGGATTGATAAATATGATATATTACATAGTAAATTAAGTGAATCATTTTGTATCAGTATTATCTATGTCCTTGAAGTGTGTGCGACTGTTGATGAGTTTGAAGTTTTAAAAGTCGTGTTTAACTGTGGGTTGTGGGCGGATATTCAGTTTATTTTCACATTTGATCAGTTTTCAAGTAAATTTTAATCGGGACTGGAAAACATATAAATTAGCATATTAAAATTTTGTAAATAAATACATAGTACAGTGAAGGAAAGTGTTGGTTCAGTTGATTTTATGATATGCGTATGATTGAAATTATACTTATCCACTTTGGGGAAAATATTTTGTAGTTTGTTTACGCATTTATAACATTATTTTGCAAAGTTGAAATAGATATAGGGGAAGTTTAAATTAAAAAATAGTGAGTTTAAAAGGTTTCTTTATAATTTGAAAAAAAAACTTTACCACAGCAAAATCGGTATCAAAAGAAGACAGTCATACAAACATAAGCAAAATAAAAAAAGTGCAAAAGATTTAAGGGATTAATATGTCATAGTGGAATATTTTATAATTGGTACATTAAAGAAGATATAAATGTAATTGTTATGCATTTAAGTTACATATGTCAGTGCAGAAGATTTAATGTTGAATGATAAAAATATACTGTTAGCATAAAAATTTAGCTTTTTAGCTCACCTGTCACACAGTGACAGGGTGAGCTTTTGTGATCGCTTTTCGTCCGGCGTCCGTCCGTCGTCCGTCCGTCGTCCGTCGTCCGTCGTCCGTCCGTCGTCCGTAAACTTTTACTTTAAATGACATCTCCTCATAAACCACTAGGCCAATTTCATCCAAACTTCACAGGAATGTTCCTTTGGTGGTCACCTTTAAAAATTGTTCAAAGAATTTAATTCCATGCAGAACTCTGGTTGCCATGGCAACCGAAAGAAAAAACTTTAAATATCTTCTTTTAAAAAACCCTAAGAGCTAGAGCTTAGATATTTGGCATGAAACATCTTCTAGTAAGTGTCTACCAAGTTTGTTCAAATAAAAGCCCTGGGGTCAAAATTGGCCCCGCCCCAGGGGGTCATTGATTTCCCTATATGCATATAGTAAAAACTTAAAAAATCTTCTTTTAAAGAACCCAAAGAGCTAGAGCTAAGATATTTAGCATGAAACATGTTCTAATGAATGTCTACCAAGTTTGTTCAACTAAAAGCCCTGGGTCAAAATTGGCCCCGCCCAGGGGGTCATTGATTTTCCCTATATGCATATAGTAAAAACTTAAAAAATCTTCTTTTAAAGAACTTAAAGAGCTAGAGCTAAGATATTTAGCATCAAACATGTTCTAATAGGTGTCTACCAAGTTTGTTCAAATAAAAGCCCTGGGGTCAAAATTGGCCCCGCCCCGGGGTCATTGATTTCCTTATATGTGTATAGCAAAAGCTTATAAAATCTTCTTTGAAAAAACCAGATAGCTAGAGTTTAGATATTAAGCATGAAACATCTTCTAGTGAGTGTGTACAAAGTTTGTTCAAATAAAAGCCCTGGGGTGAAAATTGGCCCCGCCCCGGGGGTCATTGATTTTCCCTATATGCATATAGTAAAAACTTAAAAATCTTCTTTAAAAGAACTCAAAGAGCTAGAGCTTAGATATTTGGCATGAAACATCTTCTAGTAAGTGTCTACCAAGTTTGTTCAAATAAAAGCCCTGGGGTCAAAATTGGCCCCGCCCCGGGGGGTCATTGATTTTCCCTATATGCATATAGTAAAAACTTAAAAAATCTTCTTTTAAAGAACCCAAAGAGCTAGAGCTAAGATTTTTAGCATGAAACATGTTCTAATGGGTGTCTACCAAGTTTGTTCAAATAAAAGCCCTGGGGTCAAAATTGGCCCCGCCCCGGGGGGTCATTGATTTTCCCTATATGCATATAGTAAAAACTTAAAAAATCTTCTTTTAAAGAACTCAAAGAGCTATGGCTAAGATATTGAGCATCAAACTTGTTCTAATAGGTGTCTACCAAGTTTGTTCAAATACAAGCCCAGGGGTCAAAATTGGCTCCGCCCCGGGGGTCATTGATTTTCTTTATATGTGTTTAGCAAAAACTTTAAATCTTCTTTGAAAAAACCCAAATAGCTAGAGTTTAGATATTAAGCATGAAACATCTTCTAGTAAGTGTCTACAAAGTTTGTTCAAATAAAAGCCCTGGGGTCAAAACTGGCCCGGCCCCAGGGGTGTCATTGTTTTTAACTATATGTGTATAGTAAAAACTTTAAAAAAATCTTCTTTTAAAAAGCCCAATGAGCTAGAGCTTAAATGTTTAGCATGAAACATCTTCTTATGGGTGTCTACCAAGTTTGTGCAAATTATAAAGCCCTTGGGTTAAATTGGCTCTGCAACGTTGGGGGGGGGGGGGTTGGGGGGGGCCTATATACAGGTGAGCAACCTCAGGGCCATCATGGCCCTCTTGTTTGAAATGTGTGTGACATTGATGTGACAATTGGTGTGACATTTTTGTATGTTACAACTGGTAATGGATTCTTTACAACTAGTTGAACATGATGAAGTGGCTTTGGATTTAGAAGGTATTTCCTGTTTATGCAATGTATAGTTAAAAGGGTTATGCTGTTATTATTTTGTTTTAAGTAATTTCTCACAGTGTTATTTCATGTAATGTTTGTATTTAATACACAGTCATGTACTTTTACAACCAGTAAATCCTTAACCTGCTGAATGACTAAAAATAGACTTCTAGCTCTTATATTTTCAGAAATAACAGATATAAATTTTAACGATTATATCCATCATTTATGATTATTACTTTGCCAACAGTATACAGACTGCAAGGTTCTACAGACTGGCCTGGCTCTTTACTGGTGGCAAGGTTTTTCACTTTCAGTTTCAGTAGGTTAAAGTGTTGTAGTGCTGACCATTTTTGAAGCACATCCTTGAAGTCTGACTGTAACTTATATACAGATGTCTGCTCGATAATAATCTTTTATTATGAATAATATTCCTGAAACTACTGTCATACTGTTCCAAAAAATAATAAAGTGGATAAATTCACAAATTCATTTCACACAATTGGTTAAAAGTACTGACCATTGCTATGTAAGGTGGATGAATTTTGATCTTCATTGACATATGATATGAGAATTTCTTATTCATATGGTTGATATTCTTGATTCATACATTTAGATATATATCTTGTCCATTTATTTGAATTTTTCATTTGGTACAGCCAAATTTGAACTCATTAAAAATGCATGACACTGTATGCATGTTTGACTTCCTACATTATTTTGTTGTACAATGTATTTACTAAATTGTTTAACATATTTATATACACTGTACATATTTACTTACTGTAACACTTCTTTTATACAAAAAAAAAAATAAAGAAAACAAAGAAAAACAGTTGAGGAGAGAAAACAGAAGTTTTGCACCAGGTTGAATTTTGATACACCATATTTTGGAAATTTCAAAATATGTTATGATATAAAAACTACACTGATTTATTTATTGTGGTTTAACAAAATATTTAAAACTGCTACTGCCCCACTACTACTGGTATATATAAATCTCCAAGCTAAAATAAAATAGATTTTAAATAAGGCTTAAGAGGTTAACTCCCTTGATAATAAAAAATATTAACTTGACCTTAAATTATTTGAAAATCCTTCAATATTCTTGAAATAAGGACTTAAATCTGAGTTTATAATTATAAGTTTCCGCTTACTTTGAAGTAGATGGTTCACTGAAGTGTTTGAATGGAGAGATTTAAACTAAATGATTGTAGAGTATTTAAGTGTCATCATCTCTGTCAATTGATAAAATGTTATCTTAATGTTTATCTTCTTGTCACTGTAATTGAATGATAATAGTGCTAAAAGGTCAACAATTTAACACTGATATACCCTGAGATATGTTATTGATAACCTGTGGATGAATTTTGATCTTCATTGATAAGTATGATATGAAAATTTCTTATTCATCAAGTTAATTTGTACATTTAAATGTATATCTTGGTAATAAACTTGAATGTTGCATTTTACCAGGAAATCTATTTCATAATTGAATATGTACAGGAATGAAGCATTTGAAACAATTTTATTGATTTTGCAAATAAATGAAGTAGATGTTGTAGTAAATAATAGATCTTGTTAAGAAAAATTACTCTAGAAGTTATTTTTTGAAAAAAAGTATGTCATTACACAGAAAATATGTTTATTCTGTTTCACATAACACTTTTTTCAGACTTTTATATTTTCTCTTTCAATTTGATTCTTACCTTCTACCCTGTAATAGTCAGTCAATATTAATATCGTATTCAGTTAATCATAATTTTAAAACTTCTAAAATCATAGAGAATGAATATACGAGCTAACTCTGTTTGATACTGAACATGTATGTCTACAAATTATTACTTACCAAGAAGATTTATTCTATTTTTTTACAGATGATGGGCGTGGCTCAGTGTCAGCAGATCCCATGGGTGATCCTTCAGTCCCAAGAGTTAAAAAGAAGGTAATAGTTGCTTTATATAATCTTAAAAAAACTAACAAAACAAAAACACATTTAAATGATAACTATTCATAGACTATTTAGCACATTCCTCACTTAACTATATAGAATGATTAAAGTAAATATGATCCGTGCTTTGACAAAATGAACATAATGTGTTTGCAACCAGCATCTGCACAGTCTGATCAGGATCCATGCTGTTCACTATCAGTTTCTCTACTTGTTATGGGTTAACCAATTATTAACAAATTAAAATAAATTTGCCATACTAAACTTGTTGTTTTCTAGTCTGTTAATGGAGATATTGAAATATTTGGTCAGTTACGCTAATTTTACACGTTTGTAATTTTTCAGGGTAGGAATTTATTTTTCACGGATAAAGAGAGCCGTATAGACTATGTTCTGGCGTGGGAAGTACCAACGAAAGAGACCGAACAATCTCAGAAGGCTATGAAAGCTCGAGAAATGTTTGAAGCCAATCTGATTGAAGAGGGTCTGAAACTGGAGTATGATAATGTAAGAAATTAACCATTTGTTGGAGTTTTAAGAATTTGGCTGAGAAGTTGATAACGCATAATACTTGTGAAAGGTTGTCTTTCTTTATAAAACGGACTCCTTTTGTTAGGTATTTCTTTGTGATATCGCTTGAATACAAAAACTTAAGCTTCAATCACGTATTGTAACATTTGAGATCTTGGTTACGAAGAATGTTTGAATTTGTCTTCAAAATGATTCACTTTGTCACATTTTCGATCAATATGTATAGCACTATCTCATAGACCAGACGAGTTGACCATTTAAATTTTTTCTGAAATAATGTAATTTTAAATGTATTGAAACTACATCTATGTAGTCGTAATTTTTGCCATACACACAATTTTTACAGTTCATAATAGTAATTAATCCTTTTTCACTTAGTATCGATAAACATGTTTATATACCAAGTTATGATTGTTAAAGTTTGTACATTGGGATTAGGTAGGAAATGAGTTCTAGGCTTGAATATTTTACTTTTTGTTCAGTTTTTTTAAGGCATATGAATTTGCCTCTGTATTTTTGTTTAAGTTCAATAAAATATTTTTAAACTTCACAGTCTGATGATGAGGTTCATTTTGTGAAAGTTCACGCCCCTTGGGAGGTCCTTACTCGATATGGAGAAATCCTGAAGATGAAGTTGAAAATGAAGAAGGTAAGAAACTAGAGTCTGAAAATACAAGTGGTTTTGAACATGTTCTGGCAAAAATAATATTTAAGAATGGGCGAGACCATTGTATTTGCATCTATGTGTAAAGTTGTAATTTGGCTGTTTTAGACTTAGTTTAATGGCTTTTTACAGTATCATAAAGGCTCTTCAAGAGTCATTGTTGTGCCCCCACTATAGGGTGGGGCATTTAGATTTACCCTTGTCTGTCCGTCCGTCCTTCCTTCCGTCCGTCTGTTCTCTTTTTGTGTCGCACATAGCTCAAAAAGTAATTGACCCAGAGTCATGAAACCTTACAAGAATGTTGCTCAGCATGTGTAGTTATGCACCTAGGTATTTTCATGTGGATATATTTAGTAGTTTTTAGAGTTATTGCCCTTGAATTAGTAAAAATTTCCAATTTTCAACTTGTGTCACTCATAACTAAAAAAGTATTTTACCTAGAGTGAAAACTTACAAGAATGTTGCTCAGCATGTGTAGTTGTGCACCTGGATTTTTTCATGTGGATTAGAGTTATTGCCCTTGACTTGGTAAAAATTTTCAATTTTCAACTTGTATCGCACATAACTAAAAAAGTATTTGACCTAGAGTCATGAAACCTTACAGGAATGTTGATCAGCATGTGTAGTTGTGCACCTGGGTTTTTTTGTGGAAATATTTAGTATTTTTAGAGTTATTGCCCTTAAATTAGTAAAAATTTCCAATTTTCAACTTGTGTCGCATGTAACTTAAAAACTATTTAACCTAGAGTCATGAAACCTTACAGGAATGTTGCTCAGCATGTGTAGTTGTACACCTGGGTATTTTCGCGTGGATCTAGTATTTTAGAGTTATTGCCCTTGACTTAGTAAAAATTTACAATATTCAACTTGTTTTGCATGTAACTCAAAAAGTATTTGACCTGTAGGCCTGAAAATTTACAAGAATGTTGGTCAGCATGTGTACTTATGCACCTTGGGGTTTTCTTGTGGATTTATTCAGTATTTGTAGTATTTGCCCTTTACTTAATAAAAGATTTTTCGTTTTCAACTTGGGCAAATGTAGCCAAAAACAATATTTCACCTAGAGACATAAGATCTCTGTCTGCACACATAGGAATAATATTTCAGCCCAGATGTTATGGACAGTTATCATATCAAGAAATAAGAATTTAGCTCCATTAATTGTCAACTTCCTCAGTTAAAGATACCAAAATTTGCATGGTCATACAAAATGATTGAGAGAGATAGGGGGATGCATATTCTACCAATATTGTTGTCCAGAAATGTAGGGTTAATTGCAGAACTGTTTCACCTTATTCCCCAAGTTCTAGGAAAGAAAATTCAGCATTTTGGCATTGAATCCACATTTGTTCGGCATTCAGTAATTGGAGATTTGTAAATCTAGAACACTACTTACAAAAGCAGATAATTCAAGTGATATTTTAAGAGATATTTATATTTGAAGAAACAGTTTTGTCATATTGAAAGGAATCCATTTATACAAGAAAACCATTTTGTTTTAAACTGTAGAAAAAGTAAAACTTTAGTTAAATATTACATTGTATTTGTTGGAATGAAAATCTATTAACTAACACACTGATATTTTCCTTTGTTTTACAGAGTTTGGCCACAGAGACTATAAGAAAGAAGTATTCAAAATGGGAGGTGAGTGGTAAACAAAGAAGGAAAAAATTTATATAAATTTTATTTATTTTATGAATGTTGTCTGTGAAAATTTACTGTTATGGGATTTTTTTTATAGAAATTTTTTTAAGGATCAACAAAATTGCTCTTCCTTTGAATGCAAGGTTTTGGTATATTGGTTAGTTACTTAAGTAAAGTTTTTGGATGAAGAAAAGGTTTATATATATTTTTTATATGAAATATAATGTATTTTAATTGGGGAGTTACTGTAGAATTTTCTTTTTTCCTTAAGTTAACATAAGGAGGTTAAGCTATAAATTTCAAACATGATGCACTAAGACTTGTACAAATTTTTTTATGTACATATATATCGTAATTTCTTTGCATGTTTTAATAACAGCTTTGAAGGAAAAATATCAATCTTTTACTCTTCTTGACCATGTTTTTCATGTCTTACTAATTTCTCTAGGGACGTATGGTGACTATTGGATTTTAAACATTTTTCTGCCTTTTTAATGCGAGCATTAATTAAAAAAACACAGAAATAATCAACATTTAACGTTATATATTGGCCAAATATAAGCTAAGGCAACTTATGTACGTAATTGCTATGCTTTTGTAATAGAAATAAGTACCATTTTTTTATTTTTTTGTAATTTATTTGTAAATTTCCGTTTTTAATTTTTTCATCGCAAAAGTTTAAATTTTGCGGAATAAATGTTCACAATTAAATGTTATTTAATTATTAAATGTTTGATTTTGCATGCCATTAGTAATCAAATGCAGTGAGACTAGCACTCTATAGAAAGATGCACAAATGTATTATATAAATTAGTCATATAAATTAGACAATATTAAAGAATTTATTGCTTTGATAAAAATAATATATAGGGAATTGAAAACATGTTCTGTTTTATAAGAACATGACATAATAAAAGCTGTATAGTAGCCGAAAAGGTTCTTGATAGTTTACATAGTTTTTATTTTTACTATGCTGTACAATGAAGAGCTAAGCTTAGCTGGTTAGCTGAGAATTAGTTCACAAGCATAGATTACCAGTATTTTAGCTTATTTTAGCAGAAGATCACCTTAGCTAAGGTGAATTTATATTTCGTTAATCTAAACTAAATCTGAATTTGGACAAAATTTTATTAGTTACTAGTAAAGACTTGTAAAAGGCAGTTTTTTTCTGATGTACATTATAAATTAAAAAAAAGAGCTAAAACTTATGTTGAGTTTTGTGAAAAGGATACTAGTATATTAAAGAAAGTCCACTCAAAGTTTATGAGATTTCAATATCAAAAAATACGGTTTCCAACCGTATAGAACCTTATGTCAGACTGGACAGATGTGATGGTTTGCTTGGCTCTGAACTTGTGGCAAAATCTGATCACTGTTTCCAGTTAAAGGATCAACTTTTACTAAAAGAAAGTCCCTGATATAATATTTTTAAATATTTGAATATTTGAGATCCTTGTCATCTTGTGAACTTTATGAATTTAATTTTTTGTTAAATTATCCCGGTACATCATTATTATGTCGAATATTTTTACCCTTTGATTTGGATTTTTTCGGTCATTCGTTTTTTTTTTCTTTTTTTAATTTTATATGTAAATATTGTATAAATATGTTTTACTTTAGAACACCCACACACTATAAGCATTGTATTATTTTGCGACCTCTAGTATGTTGATAGTCTGAATTTGTTATAGTGACTTATATCAAATGTAATAATAGATAAATGCAATTTTGTGCAGTTGCAGATGGGTGGGAGGAGGGATGGAGAGCAGCATAAAATCATGACTTTTGGAGGTTCATGTCAAGGGCTGCAAGAGTTATACTGCGTTCAAATTTCAATTCTTCTGGATACTGTTTATAACAAAATAACAGCAAATCTACTGTTCTGATTTCATTTCATATAATGTCTTTACATTTGTCATAATTTTTCATAGAAGATTTGGGGATGCATGGCTAGTTAAGTGAAAGAATGGGGCTCTCTTTTCATCTCAAATGAAGACTATCTGGATACTGGTATGGGCATGTTGTACTGAATTAATTTCATGCTTTCGCTTTGTTTAATGTATCACTATCTATATCTAATAACTCGTTTGCAGGAGACAGTGGATATGGTGAGTATAGGTTGCTATGGAAACATGAAGTGACCTTGACCTACTTTATATGTCATGACCTAGTTATGCTACTTTCTCTTGTATTGTACTAAAATTGCAAGTTTGATTGCTAAAAGTACATGTGCACTAATTTTGATGATAAAAAAACAGGACAATATTAAGTGAATATAGTATGTTTAAACATGTAAATCATATATTCCCACTTTACGTATACTTTCCAAAATTACTATATATTAATCAAGTCCTTATTTTGAATGCCCATTTTATTTAATGCCAAAAGAAAATCATAATGTTTGTTTCTGGCTTTACTATTTATCGTAAATTTTGCCCTCAGTTTGATTGAAAGAAGCTCTTTATAAATATTTAAACAAAGAATGTGTAAGGTCCAGTGAAAACTGCAAATCCAGGGTTTGAAATGACCGTAAGTCTTTTTGATAAGACTAAACAGCCAAGGTTCAATATAAGTGCTTAACACTTTCTCATTTCAATAAATTGTAGACATCTTCTTTCTATTCATGTATGAGTGAAAACAACAAAAACTACCAATTACCAAGTTCTGTTTATTTATTTATTTTTTAACCAGGTTTTCCGAAGGAAAAAACTGTTTATTAATAGATTGAGGTATGTCGGCGGGCAGGCAGATGGGCAGGCAGGCGGGCGGGTAGGCGTAAACAATTTCTTCTGTGCGCAACTCCTCCCACATTTCACAACAGATTTTGACCAAACTTTCACAGAAGCTTTGTCATCAAGTGCCCTGGCGCATATTGTCTGGGTTTTGTGATTGGATAATATTTGACCTGATTATGGCCCTTTGTTTTTTTTCCTTATATAGAATATATAGTGAACAATTTCCTCTGTGCGCAACTCCTCCTACATTTCTCAACAGAATTTGACCAAACTTTCACAGAGGCTTTGTCATCAAGTGCCTTGGGGCATTTTATCAGGATTTTGTGATTGTATAATATTTGACCTAATTATGGCCCTATGTTTTTTTTCCTTATACAGATTATATAGTAAACAATTTTTACCATGCGCAACTTCTCCTACATTTCTCAACGGATTTTGACCAAACTTTCACAGAAGCTTTGTTATCAAGTGCCCTGGCACACATTATCGGGGTTTTGTGATTGGATAATATTTGACCTAATTATGGCCCTTTGTTTTTTTTTCCTTATACAGAATATATAGTGAAAAAAGTTTTTCTGTGCTGAACTCCTACATTTCTCAACGGATTTTGTTCAAACTTTCACAGAAGCTTTGTCATCCAGTGCCCTGGTGCATATTGTCAGGGTTTTGTGATTGGATAATTTTTTATCTAATTATGGCCCTTTGTTTTTTTTCCTTATACAGAATATATAGTGAACACTTCTTCTGTGGCAATTCCTCCTACATTATTCATGTTTTACATTGCACATAGTTACATTGTTTGTTGCTTGTATTTGTATTTCAAATACAACATATTTATCTACAATGGTGATAATTGAAAACCTGGTTTCGTGGCATTGCCATGTTTCTTGTTTGTTTTTTTTTGGGGGGGGGGGGGGGCAGAAACAAAAATGGTTAAGCATTAGCATATAATGAAAGATTATAAGCGTTAATGAATAATGCATGCAAAAGTATGTTTATGAAATATATTGGAGTAAATATTATCATGCCAACATATCTGCAAATTAAATGATGCATGGTCAGACAAGTTAAAAATCATTATACAGGTCTGTGGTGAATTATATATATTTAATAACACACTGGATTGGAAGGAGAAATGAAACACACCTGTGTTGCTGTTTAAATGGGGGAAGGGAATTAATTCAAGTATAAACTATTTGATAAACAAAAATGGGTGATCTTTAGTTGTTGTAGACTTGAGAATAATGTGAAGATTTTTTCTTTGATTAGATGCTATTCAAGAAATTAGCTTGTTTTGGAATTATTATTATTATTATTATTATTATTATTATTATATATGATTTGATTGTGTAGATGCTTTGATATATTCTCATGTACAATGTATATATATGCAACATTCTTGCTACACATATTAAATTCTAGCTTTATATATATATATATATATATATATATATAAGCAAAAACGCTAATTTAAATTTGCCGTAGCTTTCGGCCTTGCGGCCTTCTTCAGCAGCATTTATTTCACATACAAATATATCAAACAAAACAATGGAAGTGACGTAACATCAATGAAAGACGCCCGCCGTGGCGTTGGTTGCCGTCTGCCGCGTTATTCTTTTGTATTAACTCCATACGGTCTATAGGTTCTTAATTTATTTTTCCACAAATTTTCTATTGTTTTTCTGTATTGTTCATTCCCGTATAGCTTTTCCAGCCCCATTATTGAAAAATCATTTACTGTGTGGTCGTTCGTATAAAAATGCGCCGCTAACGATCCGCGGCAGGCGGCAACCAACGCCACTTTGTGGAAAAATAAATTAAGAACCTATAGACCGTATGGAGTTAATACAAAAGAATAACGCGGCAGACGGCAACCAATGCCACGGCGGGCGTCGTTCATTGATGTTACGTCACTTCCATTGTTTTGTTTGATATATTTGTATGTGAAATAAATGCTGCTGAAGAAGACCGCAAGGCCGAAAGCTACGGCAAATTTAAATTAGCGTTTTTGCTTATATACGGCAATTTAGAGATTTTACTTTTATATATATATATATATATATATATATATATAAATCAGCTTCTATTGATGTGATATGCTTACTAACAGACTTGTGGTTTCATGCACACAGAAATAGGCTTAGATTTTTTTTTACAAAGTCATCCTGGAATATTTTAAGTAATTTACTTTTGTTAAAACAAAGATGCAGTGTCTAGTCATATGGGTTGTTTTAATTTCTGGTTTTGTTAGTGTGTATTTGAAAATAATGAAATAAGCCCATTACTGGACATTCCATCTTTCTCTTAGAAATTGATAGGAATCCTGCAAAATTAAAGAGAGACAAGATATGCATAATGTATCATGTTGAACATATTCCTATTTTTTCTGTAATCTTTGAAATGATTATTATAGTTTTTTGAAAAATTAAGTGTTTAATGCTGTATGAATCCAGTGTATTAGTCACTATTTAGATATATGCCTTAGTTATTGCTCTTGCTTTACAGCACATTACCCACGCTTCTCTGTACAAACATCACTGCTTCTTCTTTTCCCATGCTTTTAGTCTGTAGTTATGCTTTTATAAGAAAGAAAATATGTTTCAGTTTAGGATTTTGTTTAGGCAGACAATCCTACTATTTTCTTTAGAGGGTGCCTTTAAAGACAAAAAGAATATGTGAAACTAAATTTGCTGAGGCAACCTGTAACAAAAATCAAGTTTAACAAATGGTATATAAAAATTTATGGATGAAGATGGAATATAGATATATGACTATGGAATAAACCTTTGTTTGCCCCAGTACCTTGAACACAGCAATTTAGAATAATTGAAAGTATTCATTTAAAAGGGAATTCTGTTTAGATTTGAATCAGGGACTGTATTAAACTTACTAAAGTGTTATATATTTCTTCATTAAATCGCTGTCGCAGGAGCCAAATGTTTTCTACAGAGCAGAGCCCCCAGCTTGTGATAAAATTTTGGTAACAAACAATGCATGAGATGTTTCATGTGTTACGAATCTTGTTATATGTTTACTTTTTGTGTTTGTGAAGTTCATCCTCCATCCAAACTTAATGTCAGGTAGAAAAAAAAATATTTTAATTTTTTTTTTTGACATCTTTGGTGTTTACATTGTTCAAACAACAAAGAAAATATTCTAAATACAGAACTTATTTTAGTTTAATTGTGTAGGAAGCTATAAGTTTATAGACACACTTTCGATTCCGTTCCTAGAACAAACCAGCACTGAGAAATTAGTGTAAAATTTCTTGCTCAAGGAAACAACGGGTTGCCCCTGAAGCCATGCAGCTAGCAATCATTAAATCCAGTCAAGTTAGAAATTCGCCATATGACCTATACTGTTTTGGTGCAAATAAAACACAAGCTAAACAAAAAACAAAAACATGTATTAGTTGAGTCTTTTATAAAATTCTTGTTTTAAGACCATAATGGCCTGTTTCTAATTTAGATCGCTGTTTTCTTTTTTCTTTTTTTTCTTTTTCTTGATACATGTAAATTTTGCATTTTTTCGTTACCAGTTTGCACCCTTACATTGTGCTTCTGTTAAAGTTTATTTTGTTTATTTCAAGCATACATTCTTAGTGATTTTTCATTTACTTATTTGTATTTTTATTCATTCATGAACATCAATCCTGTTATTTTATAATCACATGTTATCATTGTTGTTACCCACCAGCTCAATGCAAGGCTTGCAGTTGTTTGGTGTTTAAGTGTTGTCTGTTCTGAGATCAGTGCTTTGTTGTTCTGGTTAATTCATTAGCTAAAGCATTAGATCTATAATGCACTTCCAGAGTTAAAATTTCAAGGCAACTAGTACTCATTTCAGATAATTTAGTTTGTAGTCCCTAGCAGAGACTATATTACTACTGAAAACACTGTTACATCACCGTATTGCAGTAACGTATTTACTCCTGTTCAAAGTTAAATAGGAGTTAACCCATTACTGCACTAAGGTGAACAGTATTACTGAGCCCAAAGAAACAAACATTTATGGCAAAGAATATTAAAGATAGCATAAAAAAAACTGGAAACCTTGCATGAATATATACATATTTGTTACATACTTAACCCATTACTTCATATACACGCCTTTTAACGCCTTTTTCACCCCCCCTTTTTGTTGTCTCAAATGATGAAAAAATGCCTTATTTAGGCCCCAAACACTTGTTTTTGTTTGAGAAATTTTGTTAAAAAAAGTGACCTCTTTTTCGGCGCGGCCCCCCAACCAAAAGATACATCAGGGGTTGCCAGAAGGGGGATGTGCCCCCTTCTGTTTGGGGGGTTTGAAGGGGGGCGGAGTCCCCCTCATCGCCAAGAAAATTTTGGACTTGTGAGAGGCTGTAAATGACCCCAGATTGATCATAAGGTAACGTGTAACCAACGCTGAAAAGCATTTGACTCTATCTCAATCCATTGAGAAGTTGCAGCACTTTGAAATCAATTTTGATGGAAAAAATCAACGCAAAATAGTGATTTTTGGCAATTTTGAGATGTCCCCTCGTTGCCATGGTAACAGAAAATTTAAGCCTGAGCATGTTGTTGCTAATGGTCCAGTCAACATTTGTGCCAAGTTTGATTAGTGTTGAAGCAGTTTTTATAGTATTATAGCAATTTGAACTTGTAACGGGAGACTTTTCAATGAAAACAGCCATTTTTCACAAAATGCTCATGAAGCAATGGGTTAATCATACACTTCTTTTGTGATTACTTCATCTGCATGATTAAAGTTCTTCTCAGTAAAATGATTCCAAACACAAACCTACTGGCAAGAAATTTCTAGTCCATAAATGAACCGCGTCATGACAAAACCAACATAATGGGTTTGCGACCAGCATCCACGCAGTCTGATCAGGATCCATGCTGTTCGCTTACAAACACTATAACAAGTAGAGAAACTGAAAGCGAACAGCATGGATCCTGATCAGACTGTGGGGATGCTCAGGCTGGTCTTGATCCATGCTGGTCGCAAACCCATTATGTTGGTTTTGTCATGACGCGGCTCAAATAAACATGTCCACCACAGCCCCATCATAGCTATCCATCATTGTACCAATCCATGATTCTTAATTTGTTTGACAAACAAGCAAGTTAACTTAAAGCATTGTACAAAATTTCTAAAATAACCTTAAACTTTGTTCATTGTTGCCTTACACTTATAGCATTGTAGTTTGCTTTATTCTTTACTCTAGCCTCTATTATTCCATTGTAATGCCTGATAGTTGTTTATTTTTGTTTTCTTGCTATGCTGGTTTATACTATAATTGGTCTTAGAGTTTTCATGCAACCAATGAAAAAGATGTTAGCAAATATTTCAATATTGTATTTAAAACAGGATAATTCATTGGCTCGTAACAGATCGGTAAAACATTTTTTAGAAACATTTTTTTTGTAGGATATTTATGATTCTCACAACACACTTACTGTATCAATCATAAAAGTACACAGCTTATAAAATGATGCATTGCATAGAGTATAGAATAGATGATGTAACAAAAATACAAAAATCTTTGTTTTTTTACTCAAAATTCTCATAATAATTACATTTTATTTATCTGTAGAGAGAAATGTTAATATGGAACAGTACAGATTAGTTGATAGTATAATAAAGTTATTTATTCAATAGACAATTATAAGTAATTAGGCTACATTTAGGTACATAATGTAGAGTCAATGACGTTAAATGTAATGAATTTAATTCATCAATAGTATAGAATAGGTTATACATTTAAGGTGTAAGTTATTAAAGAAGCAAAGTTTTACTGTATTACACTACATGTATCTAAAACAGTCACATAGAATAATTCCTCGTTGATATACATGAATATTCATATGAGCCGTGTCATGACAAAACCAACATAATGGGTTTGCGACCAGCATGGATCCAGACCAGCCTGCGCATCCGCGCAGTCTGATCAGGATCCATGCTGTTTGCTATCATTTCCTTTACTTGTAATGGAGTTGGTAAGCGAACAGCATGGATCCTGATCAGACTGTGCGGATGCGCAGGCTGGTCTGGATCGATGCTGGTCGCAAACGCACTATGTTGGTTTTGTCGTGACACGGCTCATATATAATATTCCTAGAGTAAGTTATTGATTTAGCGTGTAGAATGGCTCCTTCTTTGGTCTAATTAGATTTATGATTTTCAGACATTGAGAAGTAACGTAAATATGAATGAATTTAATAAATGCTAATAATTTAATGGTAAGGTCAGAAGAAACTTCTAATTAGGGGCATGATGATGTAGTTTTGACCCTTGGTTTCCAAAAAAATGTCCCATTTTTATCAGTTCAGTTAAAAAGTTGATAAAGAGACAAATTTAGATATATTTATTAAATGTATAGTTAAAGATTTGTTGCATGCAAAAATTTGAATAAAATACATTAACAATGAAAGATATTGGTTTAAATTTTGGAACTACTTATTTTCAGAATCCTGTGAAAGCTGTTAGCACGACCCTGTGGAACTCAATCTTATCTGTGACCAAAATTGCCACAAAACCTTTCCAGCTTGATGATACTATTTTCCCGAAGATTAAGAAAGATGCAACACTCACTTTTACAAGAGATCGGGAATATTTGTAAGTCTGATAGAAAACTATAACATTATCCTAGCAGGATCAACTTAAATTCCGTTATAAATAATGAAGAAAAAAAATCTTCAAATTATTTAAAAATTTTAACATAAAGATGTTTACTCAGATAATCATTTCATTGATTCCATTGTGAGAAGTCAAATACAGTAAACACTGCTTATAAGGAATTCAGTGGACAGTCAAATTAAAATTTTTATATCAGGATATTGTTATAACAAAGAGGCAACCAATTTGAAAAAAAAAAAAAGAATCAGAACCCTGGCAACAGCAGTGCTATAAGATGTATAATTATCATTATAACCAATATTATAAGTAGAGTTTACTTTTTGTTCGTAAGTAACTGAAAAAAATGGCTTAATATAAAATGTCGAGGATTAAATATGTCCATTTAGTTGATTGACTTCATTTTTGCCCAATACCACCAGATAAATTAAACAAGGTAATGCAAGTCTAAAAGTCCTGTTTGTTGTTTGGTAACTTTCAACCATTTGAAATTGAAAATGTTTCATAACTTAAGTTGTTCCACTCATCATTATAACTTAAATTCTATAAACTTTAATACAGGCTATCCTATAAATAGATTATGAACATGGTTCTTTTCCCTGATAGGTTTGACATACCAGAACAGAAGGAGTTATTCTTCACAAGTCCAGAACGTTCACGGATCGTTGATTTCATTCTGAGAAGAAAACCATTTGGTGAAGACAAGCAAGAAGCCTATACTTTCGGTAAGAATTGATAAATAAACTTATACAAAAATTTTAATTTTGTCACTATTTCTTACCAAGCACATTCATGTTGGGTAAAATATATGATTTGTAGAATAGAATAAAATATGTTGTTGTAAAATATGGTTTTTAAAGTCACGCCTTCACTGTTGTGAGTAAATGGTTGTTTTCTGGCTTATACTGCTAGGGAAAGAAACAACACCCCCTAAACTTCTCTGTATTATCTGAGGTACCAGCTTGTATCTGGGGTAAAATGCCCAACATACTGTTTTTCCCTGCTGGGATTTTAACCGTCAGTTTTTAGCTCACCTGTCACTTTGTGACAGGGTGAGATTTGTGATCACTTTTCGTCCGGCGTCCGTCCATCGTCCGTCCGCGTCCGTAAACTTTTACTTTAAATGACATCTCCTCATAAACCACTGAGCCAATTTCATCCAAACTTCACAGGAATGTTCCTTTGGTGGTCACCTTTGAAAATTGTTCAAAGAATTTAATTCCATGCAGAACTCTGGTTGCCATGGCAACCAAAAGAAAAAACTTTAAATATCTTCTTCTAAAAAACCCAAAGAGCTAGAGCTTAGATATTTGGCAAGAAACATCTTTTAGTGAGTGTCTACCAAGTTTGTTCAAATAAAAGCCCTGGGGTCAAAATTGGCACGCCCTAGGGGGTCATTGATTTTCCCTATATGTATAAATGTAAAAACTTAAAAATTCTTCTTTTAAAGAACCCAAAGAGCTAGAGCTAAGATATTTAGTACGAAACATGTTCTAATGGATGTCTACCAAGTTTGTACAAAAAAGAGCCCTGGGGTCAAAATTGGCCCCTCCCCAGGCGGTCATTGATTTTCCCTATATGAATATAGTAAAAACTTAAAAAATCTTCTTTTAAAGAACCCAAAAAACTAGAGCTAAGATATTTAGCATGAAACATGTTCTAATGTATGTCTACCAGGTTTGTTCAAATAAGAGCCCTGGGGTCAAAATTGGCCCCGCCCCGGGGGACATTGATTTTCCTTATATGTGTATAGCAAAAACTTAAAAATCTTCTTCGAAAAAACCCGAATAGCTAGAGTTTAGATTTTAAGCATGAAACATCTTCTAGTAAGTGTCTACAAAGATTGTTCAAATAAAAGCACTGGGGTCAAAACTGGCCCTGCCCCAGGGGTGTCATTGTTTTTAATTATATGTGCAAAGAAAAAACTTAAAAAATCTTCTTTTAAAAAACCCAACGAGCTAGACCTTAGATGTTTAGCATGAAACATCTTCTAATGGGTGTCTACCAAGTTTGTTCAAACAAAAGCCCTGGGGTTTAAACTGGCCCTGCTCCGTGGGGCCTATATACAGATGAGCGACTTCAGGGCCATCATGGCCCTCTTGTTACATTATGAATATCAAATACCCTTACTTCTTTCATAAGACGATTGGGCTAAACTTAAGAATCTGGCGGCAGGTATTTTTAACATTATAATTTGACTAAATATTATTTTTTGAATATCTATGTTTCTCTACAAAATCACTCGGATTACTTCTGGGGTTAAGGTTAGGGATATGGGTTAGGGTTATGTGTTAACATGGATTTTGCTGTGGACAGATTCTAAAAGTGCTCCAAAGAATGGTAGATAGTAGTAAGTTATAGAAAATAAACATTGGAATTTGTTCTGAAATAAATTTGTGTTATAAAGCATTGTTCTGTTGTAGCTATTGCCAAGGAAAACATTAAAATTAATGTTTATATATTGTACAAAAGCTGCATATAGTGAATGATCAATCAGTTATTAGGTTTTATTTTATTATTTCATTATACATGTATATATACTGCCATTATTCTAACATATAACATTATAGAGTTTGTTGCATATATTTTAATGAAATTGTAATGAATTATGTAATCTTTGAATGTATTTGATGGTATTTATATACTTTCCTTAATTTTGTCCAGTTAAAGAAATATTCAATGGAATTTTGTTTGCAGAGTACTAAATTCATTAATTAATCATTTCTGCTAATTTACCCTAATCTAGCATTCACTTTTACTTTCGTAGTCAAATTATAAAGTGGTTATTTCAGCTGAAAATTTCCACGTTCACGATGTAGGTATGTGTACTAACTAACTCCACCCACCCACGGAGATATGTTTATTCCAAACAGTTCAGTGTCCTGCCCCACCCAAGAACCTGGTAGAAAAGTGATACTAACTAACAACATAGAAAATGACAAATGATAGCATTTTAATAATATTATTTTTGTTGTTATGCTTTACCAGAGGAAAATAACGTAAATAAAGTAAAACCTGTGTTAACGGTTCCTCGTTCAACAGAAACTGAAGGTAACCATTACAAAGTTGCTAGAGATTCTAAGTTGTGCTGAAATAATTTTAATGAACAAATTTTTTGCAAGATTTTTTTTTTTTTTTTCGAAATTTTATAAGGCGGTAATTGAAAAGTGTTTTTGTTTTATTTGCTCAGAGATCGTCAGCTTTGTTTTCAGTTCCAATATGAGATTTTTTCAACACATTTACTGTAAACTAACTTATTCATTCAAAACTTGACAATTCTTTACAATTATTTTAAAGACCTTTTTTCATTGGGATAAAAAGCATAGTTTCAATGTTTGTCCCTGAAAAAAATGTTTAAATACCATGGATGAAAAAAAAAGATATAGTGTCGGACTGTCCAATATATTTTGCCATTTTTCGGAGCCAATCAGGTTTTATGTTTCTGTCAATGCAGGTTTGACTTATTGTTCTTAAAATGCTTGAAGCTTAGAAGTATGTCAATATTGTAAAACTAGAAGCTTGCATGTTGTTTATAGTAAATGTGTTTACATTTTAAACTATTCCAGAAGTGAAAAACTGGCTAAGAGATTTATTAATATTTTAGAAATTTAAGGAAAAATGAGCTTTACTTGCCAGCAGTGACCTTGTGATTTATCATGCACCAATCATTTGTTACACCAACTTTGTTGCCCCAATCCCTCCACATCCCTTGGGAAATATGAGACTGGATACAGGTAAAGGCTAGCACTTAAAATCCCCTAAGGAATAATCTGGAAAAGGGTAAAATCTTCTCAGTAGGTACCCCTAGATAATAATCTGGCAGATGATAAAATCCCCTAGGTAATAATCTGACAGATGGCAAAATCCCCTAGGTAATAATCTGACAGATGGCAAAATTCCCTAGGTAATAAAATGACAGATGGCAACCCCCCCCCCCCCCAATACTAAAGGCTGATAGATTGTAAAATTCCTCAGAGGTAAAGGTTGATAGATGGTAAAATCTCCCTAGGTAAAGGCTGGCAAATCCCTTCTTTATGGTAGTGCAGGTCAAACATTCCTGCTATTTTGTATCCTAACCAAAAATACTGCATTGACCCTCCAGTGTGGGGACAGGAATGAACAGAAGGAAAGATAAAAACTCTATTATTATTCTCCTGCACATTCATGGGCATGCTGGGCTGGGGTTGTAATTGACTGATGGATGAACAAAACTGTTTTTGGGGGAAAAATCATTGTTTAAGTAATTTTGATATAAAAAAACAAATATTTTGAAGCAGCAGAAAAGAAAATCTATTAACTCCATTATTGTGTCCTTTATTGTTGTTAGCCATGACGTAATATTATTTTTAATATTTTTTTATTTTAATGATACATTAATGGTCGTTATGTGCTTTATAGAAATGTTGTTGTTGTTTTTGCGCTTTTTTGCATGCTTGTTCATAAAGTTGGGAAATATTGAAACCTTGTTGCTACTTTTTTGTTGAAGTTCATTTTATTAGGACAGAGCTACTGTAATCCCACAATTTAAAATTTTACTGTTCAAACTGTTCTTTGTAAGTATAAATTCTAGTTTACTGAATGAGATCTGCAAAAATGGGTAAGTCTATACCAGCAGTATAGTGCCAGAGGGACCTGCTTCAACATTTCTTCAAGCTAAAAAAATAATTATGTTTAAATACTGTAAATTCACTTAATTTTGTGGGTATGAAATTTTGTTGCTTTGTCAAAAAGGACATTTTTGTTAGTTTTTAATATGTGTATTGTTTGTGCAGAAAAGTAAAGTAAAAAATTTTATTTGTAGATTTTTTTGCAAGAAACTTAAGTGCAAATAATGTAATGCAAAAATGATTTTACAGCAGAAAAAATAATATTTCGTTGGATCTTAAATTTGATGATGGACATATTTAGAAAAAACACTAGAATTGTTGATTGACATATTTATAAAAACCGCTAAAATTACTGCCACACGAATAATAAAGATTTTGCAGTAAATGAATAGGATGAAGTGAAAACTGTGTTGCAAGTAATTTATTTCACACAATATGATAGTAGAAGCATTGAGGTTTGTTTAAGTTAAGATTTGTCTGTTAATTATTCAGATTCACCAGAACAAAGGCTTCAAGAACATTTATGTGAAATGTATAGAATGTATAGGGTAAAAGGTATAATACGTTTGAACTAATGATTCACCAGCACTGGCTATCTTCTAACTTTTTGGGTAGTAGATATTTCTGTTCCATTTTATTTTGCTGTATTGTAGAAGGTTCCATGTACAGTAAAAACTCGCTAATGAGACCAATGAAGGGACTTTACAAATCTGGTCTTAATAGCGGGTTGGTCTCATTAATGAGTTTGGCCAAACAGAAAACTAGGCAATATATTAAGGGATACCATGTACTGTACACATGTTTAATTCTGGGCTAACCTATTTCAAATGAGAAGATATAAAGCATACACTATTTTGAGAAAGTGCCCGCGGTCGTATTTATGGGTTTCCAAATGTACAGAATGTACGAAATGGGACTGAATTTACTGGTCGCATTACGGAATAACGGGGTGGTCTCAAAATCGGGGTTAGCGACCATTAAAATAAAGAATAAAAAATTCTGGTCTTTAAAAAATCGTTCGTATTAGCGGGTTGGTCTCGAAAACGGGGTGGTCGTAAAGCGAGTTTTTACTGTAGTTTCCATAATGATGTGTTCAAGTATTCAAGCCGTCTGTCGGTCTTCTTTTTTTTTTTTTTTTTTTTTTTCCAACTACAAAATTCTCTTTTCTTGGCCCCTCTGTTTCCACCCCTTATGGACAGTCTCTCCGTTCCTGTAAACTTTCTAAGTAAGTCATTCATGTAGTTAATTATTTTTTACTCTCTTGCAAGGTATAATAAAGAAAAGTTATTTTTGTTAGTTTTTTTTTCTCTCTATCTGTTATCAAAATTCTAAATTATCATTATCATCATGATATTGAATTAAGCAGTACTGTAATACAGTGATACAGAATAGAGGTTCTCCAAATTACTGTTAGAAACAATAAAAGTAGTTTATAGATGTAGATGGATTTTTTTTAGTATTCTTTATTACTGAGACCAAAATGACAGGACTAATGTATGAACTGATTATGCACATTGAGAGAATATGCCTGATGAATGTAGACCGTTAAAAGTCAAGTGAGCTGCACACTACTGCTTTCTGACACCTTTTTGTTTTCCTCTCATTTGATGTGGACTTCTGAACCTAAGAAAACCCTTTGGAAAAGGGGGATTTAAGGACTGGGCAGTTTGTTGAATGCTGTGGCACTGTTGTTAATGAAAGGTGACTAGTATCACATGTTCCACCAAAGACAAAATCCTGATTTTCAAACACCCCAGCACCAAATGGAAAAAATAATTTAATGCACATTTCCCAACCACAGATCTAAAAAGTGTATGAAACCCATGTAAAGTCCATTTATGTAATACCTTCTTAAATTTTTCTATTTCTATCCTTTTTTTATCAAAAAACAAAAACAATTTGTGTTCTGTGTGTAGCGATAAAGCAAAGTTATCTTCTATGTTTAGGAATGAAGCAATTAAGTGATTGCTATTAAGCAACTCTCTGTCAATAATGTATTCTATATAATTATTGGTATGAAGCAATTTGATGTTCTGTTTATAGAAATAATATGATTTTATTGTTCTTTTTATAGGTATGATGCAATTTCCGTGTTTTATATATAGATATAATGCAATGCTGTGTTCTATTTATAGGTATAAAGAAGATGTTAGCTGATGGTTACTATAGTGCTGCCTACCCATTACATGAAGTAAGTTTTGTTTTACCTTTAAATCCTGTCAACCAGCTTAGCTCAATAGAGAAGCATCGGAGTCACTGGTTCTGGTGAAATTTTTCCATGACACTTTTTCTTGGACATTGAGTTTAATGGTCATATTTCGATCACTCTTGATGCAGTTAGAAGTTGGTCACTTGCAGAAAAATTGATAATTACTGGTTAGTTGTCCAGGAAAATCAGTTAGGTAGACTGACCACCAAGATATAACCAAAAATGTGTTAAAAATGCATAAAAAACATACAACCAAACCTGACCAAATGTTTGATTTTATGATACATGATGAAGTACTAAACTAAAAAGTGGAATAGACGATTATCTTACTGAAATCCCATTACATATTATAACTTTGTATGGTTTTCTTTGTAGTAAAATTCCTATCATTCAATCAAATATTACACATATTAGCTGTGTAAGGGTAATTGTATTAGGTGATTGTATGATAAATATGGTATGTTTTACAGGGTCACTGGAAAGCAGGATCGGCTTCAAATCCTCGAAAAATCTTGTATGAGAACTGGGCCTACTGGAGAAAATTCTTCAAAGTGCAACCTTTGGAGTATATAAGGTAAATATTTAATCATTAACATTTCATTTTGGTGTCTTCTGCTGCAACAGATTCGACCTATGCAGACAGTGCAGACCAAGATCAGCTGGCATACCTGTGTCATCGGATCATGGTTTGCACTGTTTGCTATTCAGTCAGTACATATTTTGAAATAAATTTACCCTAAAAATGATGAATGGTTTTGTACAGATTGAAAGATGGGAGAGTATATTAAAGATATCTTTTGTGATATGGGTTTTGTGTACATGTATATGAAAAAAAATTGTAGAGATGACTAGATGGTATCTCATGTAATATCAAAAAAACTTTTATACAACCTTTTTCAGGTAAAACCTGCAAATTAACAATACTGGTAATTAGATAAATTTGTTTTGGATTTACTTTGCTTTATCAGTATGCTTTATTATATGTGTACAAACATATATTTACAGGAATTACTATGGTTCACAGATTGGATTGTATTTTGCATGGCTCGGGTTTTATACAAGATGGCTGGTTTTTCCTTCCATACTTGGCTTTATCATATTTATATATGGTGTCGTATACATGGATGAAAGTTACCCTAGGTAAGCCAAATAAGTATAAGTAAGTCAAAGAGCAGAACATGTCATTAGACAGGTTTCCTTGTTGAAAAATTCTGGTTTGTAGATTGGTGAAATTTTGTTGGCACAGCCTGAAAACCACAAGCCATTGGGATTAGAAGTGTGCAATATCTTCTAGCTTGATTGAGTTTTTACAAGCCGGGAAATGCTAAACTTTTAAAGTGCAAAGTTCTTGATTAATGACTTAAATACTTATAATTCTTTTCACTGATTTAAGAATGAAATAGTTGTTCCATTTAAAAATCAGTGATTTCATTTTCAGAAACTTAGATGATTGACTGTTTATCATAGGGCAGTTGGCCTAGTTACTTGCAAGATTTTATGGGCCTGTAACAAATTCTAGTAGCCCATGGCTTGAGGGCTAGTGCTAACTTCACTGACTGCAAACCATGGTACTGAAATGAAACAAATACATATTGATTTTAATTATAACACTTTGTTATCAAAAGGCGATTAGAAAGACTTTGTTATCAAAAGGCGATTAGAAAGACTAAAATTAGTCTACTTGTATTTTGTCATGTTTATTTCTATAAAATAAAATTATAGAAGTTTTTATAATGTATATTTTCAGCAAAGAGATATGTGACGAGTCATTAAACATTACGATGTGTCCGCTCTGTGACTACCAGTGTCCATACTGGAAACTGAACAGTAGCTGCCATGATTCAGAGTACAGTAGAATGTTTGACAATAATGGCACTGTGTTCTTTGCCGTGTTCATGTCCCTGTGGGGTAAGTTGGACTATCTGGTGAATTTTTAACTTGCAAAAAGTGCATGATTTGAGGGGCTTTGTAAGGACAGTCACATAGCCCAATAGGGAGAGCATCTGATTTGTAATCCAGTGGTCTCGGGTTAGATCTTAGGGCAAGGCAAAACTTCTCAGGACAGATTGATCTTGGATATTGTGTCCCAATCTTTAATTTGTCTCTCACCAGTGATTCAGAAATCGTGTGTGATTAGTATTAGGTCACTTGCAGAGAAATTAGTAATTACCGATGGTTTTGACCAAAAAAGTCATCATGTTTTATGTCTTTAAAGCTGTACTTAAGGTAAAGTCTTCCTATAACTGTTAGAAATTTTACATGACCTTATATTGTTGTAAGGACAACTTTTAAGACACTATTTTCTAGATTAAATTTGAAAGGTGGAGCTATTGTCATGTCAGCATTTAATTTTTGTTAACCTTCTTGAAAAGGTCTTTATTTCTAAAACACTCTTATTTACTTTGAACTTGGAATTTACTTGTTCATTACAAAAATGGGGGAAAATATTCATAAGGGCAGGTACCCCTCTAATTAATTTTGGCAAAGTTATGCCCATGTTTTAATTTGAATTTTCTGTGTTGATGATTTTTTTTTGTTGGTCTTATGTCCATTTCTCTTAAAGTATTAAAGAAATTCCCCTTCCAAATTAATAAAGTTGTTTACTATATCAATTTCTTTTCAATGAAAAAGCAACACTGGAACAGTTCAGTGCTTATGAAAGCTTTTGTTTAAACTTCTTTGTGTTAAGTGTTACAATGGTGTTTTCAAATGATAACTTGTTATATATGTTTAACACGTTGAATGTAATTAATTTATAGGTACTTTATTCCTGGAGTTTTGGAAAAGAAAACAGGCAGTGATTCAGTATAATTGGGACTTGGTGGACTTTGTCAAAGAAGAGGTGAGGTTTGATAAATCTGAATTTTTTATGCCACCGCAGCATCTGCGATGCGGTGGCATATAGCGATTCACCTGTGTGTGTGTTTGTTTGTGTGTGTGTGTGTGTGTGTGTTATATAGATTATATAGTGAACTTAAAAAATCTTCTTGTGAAAAACCACTAGTCCAATTTAAACCAAACTTGGCCAGATTGATCCTTGGGTGAAGGGCTTCCAAAGTTGTTCAAAGAATTTCATTCCATGCAGAAATCTGGTTGCCATAATCTGGTTGCCATGGCAACCAAAAGTAATTATAAGAATAAATTTAAAAAATCTTCTTGTAAAGACCCAAAAGGCCTATAGCTTAGATATTTTGCATAAGGCATTGTCTGGTAGATCTCTACAAAGATTGTTCAAATTATAGCCCTGGGGTCAAAATTGGCCCCGCCCCGGGGTCATTGATTTTCACTATATGTACATATAGTAAAAACTTAAAATACCTTCTTGTCTGAAGGTACCAGGCTTAGAGGTTTGATATTTAGTATGTGTTATTATCTATAGGTACCCTACCAAAGTTGTTCAAAGTTTGCCTCTAGTGTCAAAGTCAGCCCCACCCCGGGGGTCATAGGTTTTTCTTATATGTATATTGTAAAAACTTCAAAAATCATCTTCTCTAAATTCACAAAGGCTAGAGGTTAGAAATTTTTGCATGAAACATTGTGTAGTGAACCTTTAGCAAGATTGTACAAATTATAGCCCTGGGGTCAAAATTGGCCCCGCCTGGGGGTCATTGATTTTCAATATGTACATATAGTAAAAAATCAAAAAATCTTATTGTCTGAAGGTACAAAGCTTAGAGCTTTAATATTTGTTATATGATATCATCTATTGGTAGTCTACCAAAGTTGTTCAAATTTTGCCTCTAGTGTCAAAACTAGCCCCGCCCTTGGGGTCATAGGTTTTCCTCTTATGTATATAGTGAAAACTTCAAAAAAATCATCGTCTCACAATTGACAAAGGCTAGAGGTTAGATAATTTGCATGAAACATTGTGTAGTAAACCTTTAGCAGATTGTACAAATTATAGCCCTGGGGTCAAAATTGGCTCCACCCCGGGGTTCATTGATTTTCACTATGTACATATAGTTAAAAATTAAAAAATCTTATTGTCTGAAGGTACAAGGCTTAGAGCTTTGATATTTGGTATATCATCTATAGGTACTCCACCAAAGTTGTTCAAATTTTGCCTCTACTGTTAAAACTAGCCCCGCCCGGGGGGTCATAGGTTTTCCTTACATGTATATAGTAAAAACTTTAAAAAATCATCTTCTTGAATTGACAAAGGCTAAGGGTTAGACATTTTGCATTAAACATTGTGTAGTGAACCTCTAGCAAGATTATTCAAATTAAAGCCCTGGGGTCAAAATTGGCCCCGCCCCTGGGGATCATTGATTTTCCGTCACTATGTCATAAAGTAAAAAATTAAAAATCTTATTGTCTGAAGGTACTAATCTGATAATAACAGATAGGTAAGTGATCTATGCATTATGGCAATCTGTATAGAAACAAAAAAAATTGTGTTCCTCCATTACTATTTAGTGTTGTATTTATGCGGTGGCATGGCATTTTTATGCCCCCGCCATATAATGGCAGGGGCATATAGTGTTACCCTGTTCCGTCATTCCGTCATTCCGTCCTTCCGTCCTCATCAGTTTCCGTTCATTATCTTAATAACCGTTGCACATATTGAACTCAAATTTGACATATGGATATGTCATGAGAAAATACAGGTCAAGTTTGAAATTGGTCATGGTTCGATGATTTTTGGCAGAGTTATGCCCCTTTTACATTGAAAATAATATGAAATTTTCAGTTTCCGTTCATTATCTCCCAAACGGTACAAAACATTCAATTCAAACTTGACATATGGATATGTCATTAGAAAATACAGGTCAAGTTCAAAATTGGTCATGGTTCGATGATTTTTGGCAGAGTTATGTCCCTTTTACTTTGAAAATAATATGGAATTTTCAGTTTCCGTTCATTATCTCCCCAACGGTACAACATATTCAACTCAAACTTGACATATTGATATGTCATGAGAAAATACAGGTCAAGTTCAAATTTGGTCATGGTTGGATGATTTTTGGCAGAGTTATGCCCCTTTTACTTTGAAAATAATATGAAATTTTCAGTTTCCGTTCATTAACTCCCCAATGGTACAACACATTCAACTCAAACTTGACATATGGATACGTCAAAGGAATGCGCAGGTCAAGTTCAAATTTGGTCATGGTTCGATGAGTTTTGGCAGAGTTATGCCCCTTTCACTTTGAAAATAATATGAAATTTTCAGTTTCCGTTCATTATCTCCCCAATTGTACAACACATTCAGCTCAAACTTGACATATCGATACGACAAACGAATGCGCAGGTCAAGTTCAAATTTGGTCATGGTTCGATGATTTTTGGCAGAGTTATGCCCCTTTTACTTTGAAAATAATATGAAATTTTCAGTTTCCGTTTATTATCTCCCCAACAGTATTAAACATTCAACTCAAATTTGACATATTGATACGTCAAAGGAATGCGCAGGTCAATTTCAAATTTGGTCATGGTTGGATGATTTTTGGCAGAGTTATGCCCCTTTCACTTTAAAAATAATATGAAATTTTCAGTTTCCGTTTATTATCTCCCCAACAATATTACACATTCAACTCAAATTTGACATATGGACATGTTTTTGGAATGCGCAGACCAAGTTTGAATCTGGTCATGGTTCAATGATTTTTGGCAGAGTAATGCCCCTTTCACTTTGAAAATGATATGAAATTTACAGTTTCTGTTCATTATCAACCCAACAGTGTTACATATTCAACTCAAAATTGACATGGATATGTCAAAGGAATGCGCAGGTCAAGTTGGAATTTGGTCATGGTTCGATGATTTTTTGGCAGAGTTATGTCCCTTTCACTTTGAAAATAATATAGATACATCTTAGGAATAAGCAGTTTAAGTTTGAATTTGGTCGTGGTTCAATGATTTTGGACAAACTTATCTTTCCTGAATGTTGGAAAAATTTTGAACTTTCAGTTTCAGCACTCATACTTTTGTGGAAATGTATATAGCCATTATGTTGGCTACAAATATGCAATATGCTATTTTTAAAAGGTTAAGACTGAATTAAATTTCAGTGCCTTGAACATTGTATAAAAATGGTTTGTGTTAACTTTGAAAAGTTTTGAACTTAGAATGAAAAAAAATTTTATTTTTTTTGTGCAAACAAATTTGGAACTAAATATTATAACATTTGAAATTTTGGCTGCATGCGGGGGCATCCGTGGCATGATGACACATTTCTAGTTTACAAATGCAATCTTGTTTTGTAAACAGAAAGGAAGGGTCATAGATTATATTACATATGTTATAATGTTGTGACAATCTCATATTCATTTGTTGTTAGCTCACCTGTCACAAAGTGACAGGGTGAGCTTTTGTGATCGCTTTTCGTCCGGCGTCCGTCGTCCGTCCATCGTCCGTCCGTAAACTTTTACTTTAAATGACATCTCCTCATAAACCACTAAGCCAATTTCATCCAAACTTCACAGGAATGTTCCTTTGGTGGTCACCTTTAAAAATTGTTCAAAGAATTTAATTCCATGCAGAACTCTGGTTGCCATGGCAACCGAAAGAAAAAACTTTAAATATCTTCTTTTAAAAAAACATAAGAGCTAGAGCTTAGATATTTAGCATCAAACATGTTCCAGCATTAGAGATAGCGTGCGTATCGGCGTCATTTACGCAAGCAAATACTCGGGATACGCCAGCTTCGTCATCATTTTGGCGTATATTTACGCATAATAATTACAGTTTACGCATTTAGTGAAACAAATTTGGCGTAGGCAATGTTTACATTGACACCGATTCAGCCAATTATTGAAGAAATTTTGACTATTGTTTGCAAGAGCGAAAAAAAACTCATACGACTCATTAGATGCTACGAGTAAAGATTTCTCAGATACGACAGATGTAGTGCGTTTGAAATGTGCCTTGTGTTGTAACAACAAAATGGGTGGAAAATGGGCCACAGAACGGGTTCTCAACATCCAAAAGTCTAATATTGAACAGTAAAAAATAAATTAATTTCAACCTTTTATTGTGTACCTAGCTCCTATTTTTTAAAGAAAAAAATACAATGACACTAAGTTATGCATCACACCTAATTCAATTTCATTTATATGTAGGATAATTTACTGTCTTTTAAATTTAAAATAAAACAGTTATCTCAACATGTAATTTGGTACATAAATGGTTGATTATTAGCCCACAAGCTAAATAAAAGAATTCAGTGTGGGTCACAACTGTTTGCATGTATATTATTTACTTCATTTCACAAAAAAATGGTTCAACTTCTTATAATATGCCTTAAATCTAAATATAAATAAACCTTGCCATGCTGCAATATTTCTGATAAATTATAAATCTGAGAGCAGTTTTTGATTTTTTAGGCTGTACTGTATAAATATAACGTATCATAATATGCGGCAAATTGACTCCCAAGTTCTTAAAACTGAGAGTAAATTTTACTCCTTCATTTGGCCAGAAACTGGCAGTTTACTCTCAAGTCTAAAAAACAGAGAGTATTGACTCTTGAGTAAAAATAATTATCTAGAACACTGATGTTCTAATAGGTGTCTACCAAGTTTGTTCAAATAAAAGCCCTGGGGTCAAAATTGGCCCTGCCCCAAGGGGGTCATTGATTTTCCCTATATGCATATAGTAAAAACTTAAAAAATCTTCTTTTAAAGAACCCAAAGAGCTAGAGCTAAGATATTTAGCATGAAACATGTTCTTATGGGTGTCTACCAAGTTTGTTCAAATAAAAGCCCTGGGGTCAAAATTGGCCCCGCCCCGGGGGGTCATTGATTTTCCCTATATGCATATAGTAAAAACTTAAAAAATCTTCTTTTAAAGAACTCAAAGAGCTATGGCTAAGATATTGAGCATCAAACATGTTCTAATAGGTGTCTACCAAGTTTGTTCAAATAAAAGCCCTGGGGTCAAAATTGGCCCCGCCCAAGGGGGTCATTGATTTTCCCTATATGCATATAGTAAAAACTTAAAAAATCTTCTTTTAAAGAACCCAAAGAGTTAGAGATAAGATATTTAGCATGAAACATGTTCTTATGGGTGTCTACCAAGTTTGTTCAAATAAAAGCCCTGGGGTCAAAATTGGCCCCGCCCCGGGGGGTCATTGATTTTCCCTATATGCATATAGTAAAAACTTAAAAAATCTTCTTTTAAAGAACTCAAAGAGCTATGGCTAAGATATTTAGCATGAAACATGTTCTAATGGGTGTCTACCAAGTTTGTTCAAATAAAAGCCCTGGGGTCAAACTTGGCACCGCCCCGGGGGTCATTGATTTTCCTTATATGTGTTTAGCAAAAACTTAAAAAATCTTCTTTGAAAATGCCCAAATAGCTAGAGTTAAAATATTAAGCATGAAACATCTTTTAGTGAGTGTCTACAAAGTTTGTTCAAATAAAAGACCTGGTGTCAAAATTGGCCCCGCCCCGGGGGTCATTGATTTTCCTTACATGTGTATAGCAAAAACTTAAAATCTTCTTTGAAAAAACCCAAATAGCTAGAGTTCAGATATTAAGCATGAAACATCTTCTAGTAAGTGTCTACAAAGTTTGTTCAAATAAAAGCCCTGGGGTCAAAACTGGCCGGCCCCAGGGATGTCATTGTTTTTAACTATATGTGTATAGTAAAAACTTTAAAAAAAATCTTCTTTTAAGAAGCCCAATGAGCTAGAGCTTAGATGTTTAGCATGAAACATCTTCTTATGGGTGTCTACCAAGTTTGTGCAAATAAAAGCCCTTGGGTTAAAATTGGCCCTGCAACGTGGGGGGGGGGTGGGGGTTGGGGGGGCCTATATACAGGTGAGCGACCTCAGGGCCATCATGGCCCTCTTGTTAGCTCACCTGCACAAAGTGCAGGTGAGCTTTTAGGATGGCCAACCAAATGGCGTCCGTCGTCTGTCGTCCGTCCACATTTTAAATATTCTAAGGACATCTTCTATGATACCGCAAGGCCAATGTTAATGAAACTTGGCAGGAATACTCTTTGTATGAAGCTCTATCAAGATTGTTCAAAGAATTCCATTTCATGCAGAACTCTGGTTGCCATGGCAACCGAAAGAAAAATCTTTAAATATCTTCTTTTAAAGAACCGTAAGAGCTAGAGCTTAGATATTTGGCATGAAACATCTTCTAATGAGTGTCTACCAAGTTTGTTCAAATAAAAGCCCTAGGGTCAAAATTGGCCCCGCCCCAGGGGGTCATTGATTTTCCCTATATGCATATAGTAAAAACTTAAAAAATCTTCTTTTAAAGAACCCAAAGAGCTAGAGCTAAGATATTTGGCATGAAACATCTTCTAGTGAGTGTCTACCAAGTTTGTTCAAATAAAAGCCCTGGGGTCAAAATTGGTCCCGCCCCAGGGGGTCATTGATTTTCCCTATATGCATATAGTAAAAACTTAAAAAATCTTCTTTTAAAGAACCCAAAGAGCTAGAGCTAAGATATTTAGCATGAAACATCTTCTAATGAGTGTCTACCAAGTTGGTTCAAATAAAAGCCCTGAGGTCAAAATTGGCCCTGCCCCAGGGGGTCATAGATTTTCCATATATGCATATAGTAAAAACTTAAAAAATCTTCTTTTAAAGAACCCAAAGAGCTAGAGATTAGATATTTGACATGAAATATCTTCTAGTGAGTGTCTACCAAGTTTGTTCAAATAAAAGCGCTGGGGTCAAAATTGGCCCCGCCCCGGGGGGTCATTGATTTTCCCTATATGCATATAGTAAAAACTTAAAAAATCTTCTTTTAAAGAACCGTAAGAGCTAGAGCTTAGATATTTGGCATGAAACATCTTCTAGTGAATGTCTACCAAGTTTGTTCAAATAAAAGCCCTGGGGTCAAAATTGGCCCCGTCCCAGGGGGTCATAGATTTTCCCTATATGCATATAGTAAAAACTTAAAAAATCTTCTTTTAAAGAACCCAAAGAGCTAGAGCTAAGATATTTAGCATGAAACATCTTCTAATGAGTGTCTACCAAGTTTGTTCAAATAAAAGCCCTGGGGTCAAAATTGGCCCCGCCCCAGGGGGTCATTGATTTTCCCTATATGCATATAGTAAAAACTTAAAAAATCTTCTTTTAAAAAACTCAAAGAGCTAGAGCTAAGATATTTAGCATGAAACATGTTCTAATGGGTGTCTACCAAGTATGTTCAAATAAAAGCCCTGGGGTCAAAACTGGCCCTGCCCCGGGGGTCATTGATTTTCCTTATATGTGTATAGCAAAAACTTAAAAATCTTCTTTGAAAAAACCCAAATAGCTTGAGTTAAGATATTATACATGAATCATCTTTAAGTAAATATCTACAAAGTTTGTTCAAATAAAAGCCCGAGGGGTCAAAACTGGCCCTGCCCCAGGGGTGTCATTGTTTATAACTATATGTGTATAGTAAAAACTTAAAAATCTTCTTTTTGAAAACCCAATGAGCTAGAACTTAGATGTTTAGCATGAAACATCTTCTTATGGGTGTCTATCAAGTCTGTTCAAATAAAAGCCCTTGGGTATAAATTGGCCCGGGGGGGGGGGGGGGGGGGCTATATAGAGGTGAGCGACCTCAGGGCCATCATGGCCCTCTTGTTAACTATGTGTGTATAGTAAAAACTTAAAAAATCTTCTTTTAAAAAACCCAATGAGCTAGAACTTAGATGTTTAGCATGAAACATCTTCTTATGGGTGTCTACCAAGTCTGTTCAAATAAACAAATAAAAGCCCTTGGGTAAAAATTGGCCCGGGGGGGGGGGGGGTTATATACAGGTGAGCGACCTCAGAGCCATCATGGCCCTCTTGTTTTTTTTTAGTTTTTTTTTTAAAGTTAATTCATAGCTAACTGATTCTACCAATGCAATCAGTACAGACCAAGCCATACATCTGTGCCGACCGATCATGGTCTGCACTGTTGGCTATTCAGTCACTACATACATTGTATCCTATAATTGATGAATGACTTTGGCCAGTCAAAAAATGTACAAGTTCATTTAATATATTTAGTATGGGTCAGATTATATCAATATATTTAATGGATATATTGAATTTTTGTGAGGAATCTATCTAGCAAGCTTGAATGGGATAGGCAGTTGTACTTAGCATGGAGATGCATTTTGTATCTAAAAGTCTTTACATTTGTGCAATTTGATAATAGTATATCTTGAATTAAAAATGAGTAAATTCAAAGCTGGACACATAGATTATATAGAATTTGTATGGTTATAATTAGTGGGTTTGTGAGAGAGGAAAAAGAGAAACAGATCAACAAAAGAAAATGACTGGTAATGATATTTAGTATATGTATGTATTGTAGGAACCACCACGCCCAGAGTATCTTGCCAAGCTTGCCAACTACCCAAGAATGAAGGAGAATCCTATCACAGGCATGAAAGAACCACATTTACCTTTCTGGCGACGTAGATTCCCTATATACATGCTCTCATACGGTTTTATGCTGTTCACAGTATGTAAACAATATAAAGTGTTGAAAATTAAACAAATAACAGTTTATATAATATTGTTTTCAAAACTATATTTAACATGTAGTTCATGCTGGTTCATGCTGGTTGAACATGCTGGTTCAAAGTGTATCAATGCCACTTAATGTATTCTCCTAAATTCATTAGAAAATTAATTTTGATAACTGATTGGGTAAATATTTTCTTATCGAAATATCATTTTCAGTTTCGTTTATTTGAAGCCATTCAGTTGCTAGGTTTGGTAGACAATAAGTATGTTTTGATGACTATAAGTATGTTTTGATTTATTTTATTCATTCCAGATGTGTATAGCCATTGGTGGTGTGGTTGGTGTGATAGCATACAGAATCTCTGTGTTAGCTTCATTACAATTGTTGGAAAAAGATAGTCCCAGGGATAACTCGACCCTGGGTGAAACAAAACATGTTATAACAACAAATGCTGGAATAATCACAACAATCACTGCAGCCTGTATCAACTTGTTTATTATCATTATACTCAACATAGTATGTATATATTTTATACGTTATTGAAGGTGCTTCTTTTGGACAAGCTGTCAAAGTCTGGTGGCACGGCTCCACAGGGATAGCATCAGATTTATAATCCTGGGATGGCGGGTTTAATCCTTGGGCAAACTGAAATTTTTCTCTGACAATTGATCTCAGACATTAAGTTCTAATGGAAATGAAATTGTAATTATTTCATAGGGTTTTTTTCTCATAGTTTATAAAAATAATATGATAAGTTTCATTTGTGAAGAAAACTACGCTTTCTTTAGTATAGCAATGCTGATTAATATTAAGTAATGATATGTTATTCTTTTTAAAAGGGTAATTGTGTGCATGACATGTACTTGGTAACAAATAAAGCTGTACTTGATTAATATAAATTAAAATACAATTTATTTTTTGTTAGGTATACTCACGAGTGGCTGTATGGTTGACAGATTTCGAGTGTTTAAGGACACAAGGAGAATATGATGACAGTATCAACATTAAGTTGTTTGCCCTACAGTTTGTCAACTATTACTCTTCCATCATCTACATTGCCTTCTTTAAAGGAAGGTCAGTATGATGTCCTAACATTGATAACTTTATTTTTAGAAGCAAGAATTTAGGTATATTCTTTAGTGGCCAGCAGGTCAAAGGTTAATGCTAGTATAAATTTGTGATATTTGCTTTGTTCCTTTTTGTCCAGTTTCAAACACAAAGCCTCATGGTTAAGGTGTCTGCCTCTCAACCAAGAGATCATGGGTTCAAGCCCTACTTGGGTTACAACCATGTTTCGACACCAGTACTGCTTGGTTCCAGGAAGTGGACTGGGAAGTGATTAATATAAGTTGCAAGAATTTGTTTCGCAATCGAGCTTAAATAAATATGTTTAAACCAAACATAAAATGAAGAAAATGTATTATTTTTCGTATCTTTATAGGTTGGTTGGTAGACCTGGAGCTTACAATGAAGCATTTGGCGGCAGACAGGAGGAGGTAAATTACTTTTCAGTTCAATTGTACAGTCAAACCCGTGTTAAAGACCACCTCTGAATAAAGATCACTATATGTATAAAGGTCACTCTAAGACAAACTTTCATTGATTATTAAAACATAGTGTACCTCCAAATTTGAAGCAGGGCAAATCCATTATGCAAATGCAGCAGGTTAAGGGTTTATTTGGAAGAATGTTTTGTGCAATAAAAGTATTTCAATGTCAAAAGGCAAAAACTGGGCTTAAAGAGTCAGGTGAGATTTCACAATTCATTAAATGAGCAGTTTGATGTGACTGTAATTGATAGAAAGGCTTAATATAAGGGATATCAACCAGAGTCAGGATATCTGAACATTTGAATAGCGATTTGGTAACCAGAGTCAATTTTCTGATCCGGGTACAAGTTTATATTCTGTTAATGTTTAAAGACACCTTGTGTTGCAGTGTGGTTCGGCCGGATGTTTGATAGAGCTATGTATACAGCTGGCAATCATTATGGCAGGAAAACAAATTATACAGAATAACCTTCTCGAGATATTCCTTCCGTAAGTTTTTGTTTTATATGACTTGTGTTTGCATGCAGAAGTGTTTACAAATGGTATCATGTTCATTACATAAATATTTTTATTATATACTTATAAATGAAATATTGAGAAATATTGATGGTATAAAATACAGATTTTCATTTTCTGTATTTTCACTGTAAAAAATTTTTTTTCACTGCAGTGTAACATATTTTCTGTATTTTCACTGGCATCTTGCAAGACTTTATTCTAGATTGAGCCAATACACAAAATTTAATTGGAAATCTTTCAAATTGTAAAGTCTAAAAGGTTAAAAAATAAATGTAATAAACAGAAAATTAAAATTTTTTCTATAAATAAGGAAGATGTTGCATGGGTAGATACAGTCACTGCCTGCAGTGTTAAAGAATTAATCTCTTTACAGGAAAGGTATCAAGTTTTTAAAGCGGTGCTATAGGAAACGGATCCTGAAGGAAACGGCCGAACAAAAAGCGAAGCTGTCGGCCTGGATGAAAGATTATCAGCTGTCAGAACACACATCACTGTATCATGAGTACCTAGAAATGGGTAAAATATTTCTCTTTGTTAGTTTACCGTTTGTCTTAACAAGTATTTCAAATTTGTAACACTAAGTTACAAAATGCGTAAGAACAAAGTTTTTCTCCCTGTGTGAATCAGACTCATCTTCTATTAAAAATTTTTGATTGCTGAGTCATAAAATAAGTTTCCCTGATAGCAAGTCCCAATAAAAGTTATTTCCCATTGGCAAAACTATTGAAAAATTCCCAATTTCTTTTTAAAAATTAACCAATTTTACTTTTTTAAGCATACATATATTGGTGATGATAAAACACCATTTCTAATGAAAAAAAAGAGGATTCTACATAATCAATTTCGAATTTTCCTTTGGTTATCACACTAAAATTTCCAAAAGTTGAGTTGCTGCATGAAACATGTTTTTAGCTCGACTATTCGATAAGAATAAGTAGAGCTATTGCAGTCACCCGAGCGTCGGCGTCGGCGTAACCACTTATGTTAAAGTTTTTGTAATAGTTCAAATATTTTCAAAGTCCATTGACATATGGCTTTGAAACTTTGCACACTTGTTCACCATCATGACCCCAACCTGTAGACAGGAGAAGGTAACTGTATCAAGCATTTTGACAGAATTATGCCCCTTTTTCGACTTAGAATTTACGTTAAAGTTTTTGTAATAGTTCAAATATTTTCAAAGTCCATTGACATATGGCTTTGAAACTTTGCACACTTGTTCACCATCATGACCCCAACCTGTAGGCAGGAGGAGGTAACTCTATCAAGCATTTTGACAGAATTATGCCCCTTTTTCGAGTTAGAATTTACGTTAAAGTTTTTGTAATAGTTCAAATATTTTCAAAGTCGATTGACATATGGCTTTGAAACTTTGCACACTTGTTCACCATCATGACCCCAACCTGTAGACAGGAGGAGGTAACTCTATCAAGCATTTTGACAGAATTATGCCCCTTTTTCGACTTAGAATTTACGTTAAAGTTTTTGTAATAGTTCAAATATTTTCAAAGTCCATAGACATATGGCTTTGAAACTTTGCACACTTGTTCACCATCATGACCCCAACCTGTAGACAGGAGAAGGTAACTCTATCAAGCATTTTGACAGAATTATGCCCCTTTTTCGACTTAGAATTTACGTTAAAGTTTTTGTAATAGTTCAAATATTTTCAAAGTCCATAGACATATGGCTTTGGAACTTTGCACACTTGTTCACCATCATGACCCCAACCTGTAGACAGGAGGAGGTAACTCTATCAAGCATTTTGACAGAATTATGCCCCTTTTTAGCTCGACTATTCGATAAGAATAAGTAGAGCTATTGCAGTCACCCGAGCGTCGGCGTCGGCGTAACAACTTATGTTAAAGTTTTTGTAATAGTTCAAATATTTTCAAAGTCCATTGACATATGGCTTTGAAACTTTGCACACTTGTTCACCATCATGACCCCAACCTGTAGACAGGAGGAGGTAACTCTAACAAGCATTTTGACAGAATTATGCCCCTTTTTCGACTTAGAATTTACGTTAAAGTTTTTGTAATAGTTCAAATATTTTCAAAGTCCATTGACATATGGCTTTGAAACTTTGCACACTTGTTCAACATCATGACCCCAACCTGTAAACAGGAGGAGGTAACTCTTTCAAGCATTTTGACAGAATTATGCCCCTTTTTCGACTTAGAATTTACGTTAAAGTTTTTGTAATAGTTCAAATATTTTCAAAGTCCATTGACATATGGCTTTGAAACTTTACACACTTGTTCACCATCATGACCCCAACCTGGAAACAGGAGGAGGTAACTCTATCAAGCATTTTGACAGAATTATGCTCCTTTTTCGACTTAGAATTTACGTTAAAGTTTTTGTAATAGTTCAAATATTTTCAAAGTCCATTGACATATGGATTGAAACTTTGCACACTTGTTCACCATCATGACCCCAACCTGTAAACAGGAGGAGGTAACTCTATCAAGCATTTTGACAGAATTATGCCCCTTTTTCGACTTAGAATTTACGTTAAAGTTTTTGTAATAGTTCAAATATTTTCAAAGTCCATTGACATATGGCTTTGAAACTTTGCACACTTGTTCACCATCATGACCCCAACCTGTAAACAGGAGGAGGTAACTCTATCAAGCATTTTTTTTACTATCAAGCACTAAGAATAGTCGAGCGTTGCTGTCCTACCGACAGCTCTTGTTTAAATCTGTGATTTGCTTATCCTATCTTCATCATACCTACAATTTGTATTAAATATGTTATAGTTGACTGTAATTTTGGTATTGATTACAGTGCTACAGTTTGGATTTCTGACAATATTTGTGGCGGCATTCCCGCTCGGACCACTCTGCTGTCTACTTAACAACATGATAGAGATCCGCTTTGATGCTCTGAAGTTTACCACTGATCTCCGACGACCTCTAGGAGAGCGTGCCGGTGATATTGGTAAATATCTTTGTAATTATACTCGCACACTGCTCCACTTGCCCCTCACCTCTTAGGGTTTGAATCCCTACAGGGACTTTGGGAAGCTATTCAGCTAGCTTACAGAACGGCGGTAGTTCTACTCAGGTGCATGTTTGTGCCTGAAATAATGTATGAAAGGGAAAAAGTGAAATGCTTACATGCATTAGAAATACCGGTAGCAGAAAATATTTTTTAGTGGTAACTTTGACACATTTATTGTATGATTTATTTTTCATACCTTTAGATCAAACTTTAATGTAATAGAATCAATTGATAGGTTGCCAAAATAAAATCAAAGTGTGTTTGAATTCATAATAATTTTTGTGTCGCCCTGAAAAAGGCGACATATAAGGGTTACTTTTGTCGGCGGCGTCATTGTCGTCGTCGGTGCCGTCGTCGGCGTCCCCTTAAGCTTGTCCGGAGCATAAGTCAGTCATTATAAGTCGGATTGACTTCAAACTTTTCTCCTTAAGTATAAAATCTATGGACTTGAAACTTCATAGGATGATAGATCTCATTAAGAAGAAGTGCAGTGCACAAGAACTGGTACTCTGCATTTCTTATTTTTTGAGTTATTGTCCTTTGTTAATTTTCATACTTTATTTTTGTCTGTGCCATTTCTCCTAAAGTATAAAAGCTATGGACTTGAAACTTCATAGGATGATAGATCTCATTAAGAAGAAGTGCAGTGCATAAGAACTGGTACTCTGCATTTCTTTTTTTTTTGAGTTATTGCCCTTTGTTAATTTTCATACTTTATTTTTGTCCAGGCCTTTTCTCCTAAAGTATAAAAGCTATGGACATGAAACTCCATAGGATGATAGATCTCATTAAGAATAGGTGCAGTGCCAAAGAACTGGTACTCTGCATTTCTTATTTTTTGAGTTATTGCCCTTTGTTAATTTTCATACTTTATTTTTGTCCAGGCCATTTCTCATAAATTATAAAAGCTTTAGACTCGAAACTTAATAGGATGATAGATCTTATTAATAAGAAGTGCAGTGCACAGAAACTGCTGATCTGCATTTCTTATTTTTTGAGTTATTCCCCTTTGTTAATTTTCATACTTTATTTTTGTCCAGGCCTTTTCTCCTAAAGTATAAAAGCTATGGACATGAAACTCCATAGGATGATTGATCTCATTAAGAATAGGTGCAGTGCCAAAGAACTGGTACTCTGCATTTCTTATTTTTTGAGTTATTGCCCTTTGTTAATTTTCATACTTTATTTTTGTCCAGGCCATTTCTCATAAATTATAAAAGCTTTAGACTTGAAACTTAATAGGATGATAGATCTTATTAATAAGAAGTGCAGTGCATAGAAACTGCTGATCTGCATTTCTTATTTTTTGAGTTATTGCCCTTTGTTAATTTTCATACTTTATTTTTGTCCAGGCCATTTCTCATAAATTATGAAAGCTTTAGACTTGAAACTTAATAGGATGATAGATCTTATTGATAAGTAGTGCAGTGCACAGAAACTGCTGATCTGCATTTCTTATTTTTTGAGTTATTGCCCTTTGTTGATTTTCAAATTTCATTTTTGTCTTTGCCATTTCTCTTAAACTATATTGTTCACAAGGCGACACATCCGACTCGCAGAGTTCTAGTTTATAATGCTAATTTCTTTATATTACAGGTATTTGGTATGAAATATTGTACGCAATTTCTAGACTGGCAATAGTTTCCAATGTGAGTATTTTAAAGTGCTTATTTCATAATTATTTCAGATGATTATATTTTATGCCATTGCTGCTAATCCAATGTACATGTTTGTCTGTGCAATCTTGTCCTAGATGATAATAGATATCAACTTAAATTAGTTTCACAGTTTTACATGTAATGATTTTGATATTAAATATGTTTTAACCTGTGTTCAGAGACCACCATGTGAAGTTTGCCCAAATGGGTCAATAGAACATCTGATTTGTAATCCAGGGGTCAGTGGTTTGATCCTCGGGCAAGGCGAAGTTTCTTTGTGACATTTGAGTGTAATGGTCATTTGTCTCTCATTGATAATTCAGAAGTCATGTGGGATTAGTAGTCTTGTCGCTTGCAGAGAAATTGGTAATGACTGGTTAGTTATCCAGAAAAGCCTGTTAGGCAG